TATGGAAATAAAGACTTTGAAGTGCACAAACACATAATTTGCCTAGTGGTGCTACAACAACCACGTCCAAGAGTGATACCAGCCGGTGACATAATGGTGTATTTGAGATGTGTGAGGAACAAGCGAGGATATGAGTATTGCCAGTCACAGATCGTGCCAGTTACTGCAGTGGGGAAGTGCTCTTGGCTGTGAGTTAGGGCAGAGACTGTATCTCCTCTTGCATTAACATAAAGCCTGTTCTTGGAAGCCAGAAGGGATAATTAGCCTTAATCAATCACGTTTCCTGCCATGGAAGTCTGTTTCACCACTGACACAAGGAGATGAGTGCTTGAAAAGCCTGGCCTTGTTTTGTCTGGCACAATGTTCCTTCAGGAATCAGGCACCTACAGTTTAATGATCACCCCGAGAAAGATTTACATTTGCAATTATGGAACAGGCAGCACCACCCCTCAGCTGTTTCTTCCCAGCTGATGAAAATGTGAAGACTGAAGAATTTAAGCCTTGTTTGAATAAAGTGCCTGAACACAAGCTAGAATTTAGGTGGCATTTAAGACATGTTCTCATGCCATCCTGACTTGATCTTGCCCTTCAGAAGAGTTTGTGGTTTATGTACCATACAAAGCCTTCGTATTCAGAGCCTGCACCCTGATCCCATCCTGAGGTGCAGATAGCCACTTGCTTGAGTAGCTGAGAGCATGCAAGAAACCCTTGTAAAACTAGTTAGCTGGGATCAGGCAGCACCTGGGGCTCATTCCCTGGTTTTGGGCTCTGTAGTGTAGTTTAGCTCTGCCAAAACAGAATTAGTAGATGCTCACTGAGACTATCACAGGTGATAGCAACAAAAACCACCCCATGTTTACAGATTCTGGCCAGCATCTATTAATATTGCCTCCTCTGTCCCAGCAGAGTCGTCAAACCAACAGCCATGGTGCAAGAGACACGGACTCCAGTGACTCATCTGCCACGTGAGGGGTGAGCCCCACTGCTGTGCCATCCTGATGTGGTGCTGCATGAGGCTCTGCTTCAGGACTCTGTCACTGGAGCTACCTTCCAGCATGAACGCTGGCACTCCATCTCAGTGCAGTGTCAAAAGACAGCTCTGATTTTGGTCTTCAGCCATCACAGTGTCTCCAAAACTTTCCAGTGAGAAAAAGAGATAGAGATTATCAGGTTATTTTACAAATCTCTTAATCTACTTTTTTCCTCTGACTCATATGGCTTATACACAACCAACTGTATTCTAGTCTCTTGCTGATTCTTCCTTCCCCCATCTCTGTCCCTCAGAAAAATACCCCAGTGCCAGATACACCAAGCCTTTCTTCAGCTGGGAGAGTACTAAGTTTAATTTTGGCAAGATAGGTGTATAAATATTATGCATATAATGTGCTACACAGTCATCTGGGTGATTGGTACACTTGGGCTGATGAGGAGGAGCTCTGTAGCTCTGTGACTGACACCTCTCTATCTCCTTCCACAGACCCATAGCTGGAGGAAGACTGGAAAATAGCTTTGCTGAGAGTATGTCTCAGATTAGAGTCTGATCTCTTTGTACCACAGCAGAACAATCCACATAACAAGGTAGTTGCAGAAAACTTATTAAGTGTATTGAAGTGTGCACTGAGTCATGCTTGTAAACTGTGCTCATCCACCTCCCTGAAAATGTGTATTCGTCAGTGGGAATGTGGCTGCATGTAAACCACAACAAGGCATTAAGAGATTAAGCCAGGATCAGAGAGAGGAGAAAGAAGGAAGAGGAAAAAAGATACTGAGAAAGAGAAACAGAACAGATGATACAGAGCTACCAGCCTTCAGTCTTTTGTGTGTAGGTGCCTTGTGAGCAGTGGCAGTGCAGTGACAGTGCTTTGTTGCCAGAGCTACGTCCGTGGGACTGTGTTGGCCTGGGGGCTGGTGGTAACCTGAACATTTCTATTCTGCACAGCTCTATCAGGCCCACTCCATCCCTTTGTGCACTTATGGGTGCTCAAGCAGACACAACTGCCCACCTGGGACATGCCCTGGAGCCCTACCTGCATCTGCTTCCACTTCCATCAGCAGCACTTATTGCATGGACAAGAGCCACACAGAGATGCTGCTGTGCTGCTCATAGGGCAAGGAAAATCATGGGTCCTTGTCGTCAAAAGATAAAGGCAAAGTATGACCAGGAATAAAAAATGTAGTCCTGGGAAATGTGTTCGGTGGGAAATAGAGGCAGTGGTACTCCCTGGAACACCTAAATTCAAGGTAAATATTTTCTATTAAATAAAGACTGAAACTTCAGTTGACTCTGAACATATTTTAGTTGTTGAAGTCCCTGTTAAGGAGGGGGAGAAAGCAGTGGTGTCTTTAACCCCTCCAGCTCAGAGGAAGAAGAAAACTTATGTTTTAATCCAGGAAGAAGTGGAATGCCTTCAGGTTCTTTACCTCCACCTGCAGTTGGGTTGGTTGTTGTCCACTACACAGCTAATGTAGTGTTATCTCAACTCTGCCCCCCAGGCCAACACAGGGCAAATACTTTGTTACCAAATCAAACTATGAATAGAAGAGGACAAGTCAATGCTGTTTCTGAAAGCAAACTGAGGGCACGACCAATATAGGTGTTTATGCTGGAGCCTTGGCAAGATGTACTACTACATCACTGTAGGAGACAGAAATCCTGAACTTGAAGTCCTCAAGGGCAGCCTGTTTTCATGTGCAGGGCCTGAATTATAACCTGGCTTAATGACATGGATTTCCATGTGATGACTACCACAGCTTAGCATCCAGTCCCATTTCTGTCGAAGGTATAAAGGAGAAAGTTGAAAAAGGTGGAAATATGTAAATAAAAAGCCAAGACCCCTTGCTTTTTCTGTAATAGAATCAAACTAATTTCTTATTGTTCTTGTGAGGTTGAAGCAGTTGGTGAATTCCTTGTATTTTTAGTATTTATATTACTGTATTAGATAAGTGTCTCACAGATTTGAAGTTGGCGTCCCAGTGCTTCCATGCTGCTCCCATTTTGCAGAGGAGGAATTTTGATGATGTTGAGGCAGCCTGAAACAGAGTAATCCCAGGCCTCATGATTTCTACCCTCACGGTCATTGTCCTGTACTCTTGCTACACTTTAACAATTTCATTTTTCAGAAAATATAATGGCCTTTTTTATATTTTAGGACTCTAGATTCACTCCATGTATGTATGTACACTTGTTAGAAGAGACAGTTCAGTGTTTTCATTCAGTGACCTTCTGACTTCATGCAGTAAACCCACTGCATGAGCTTGTTTTGCACTTGTGTTCAAGATACATCACCTTGAAAAATAAAAATTATCTCAGAGTCTCTGTTTTGTCTTTGGAAAGAGACGGGTGTTAGAGGCAATTTAGAAATAATAGAAGAACTTTACTCAAAGGAAAACATTTAGCTACTTGAGCATCTTCATTTAAAAATTCAGCATTTGGGAAAAATCCTAAAGCAGGAGGAAATATTTCCCTTCTGCAATGATATTTTGATGCACTGTGCTCTGGTTCTTCTCTATTAGTCATGCTCCCAGCTGGAGACCAAGAGAAAAGAGGATTGTAATGCAAAGTCATATTCCACGGTGCACTGTGGGAGGTTCTGTTCAAAAAGGAGAAATGAGACATGAGAAAACTGGGCTACAGTTTCCCTGTAAAACCACAATGTGATATACACACACCCATCACAACACTGAAATTTTGATTTTTTAAATACTGAATTAATTCATCAACCTTTAGACCACTTTTACAGTTTTGATGGAAATTCCTTCTTTAAACCCCACCAACACATAGTAATACTCACCTCATTCAGGCACGTAATTTTAAAGCTTTTGTTGTTTACTGCTTATTATCTAACTACAGTCATACATAGTAGTTCCATTTTCAGCATTTCATTAGATGACTTGCAAAGATGTGGCCCTAAGGAGTCGCAGACCTATCCTGGCTTGTTCCAAAGTGTGTTCAGAAAGGGCTGTTAACAATTCCTGTGTCATCTATGTAATTTTTCTTAAACTCCTGGTGTCTCCATACACCAGTTATCATCCTTTTAAACAATTTTCCAGTACAAAGAAAACCTCAGCAGTATAGCTATTTCTCTTGTGCAGAGGACAGGGAGACAGGTGAGCCACCAGACTTCTGGTGAAAAATCCTGAGTGTTCAGTGAACTGACCACAAGAGACACAGGTTTCACAGTACCATGCATCAAGCATCTTACTTAACCACCTATTCCTGCAGTACCGAAAGCAAATAAAGAATAATGGCTAATTCCTGTGATAGGTTGGAAATGCATGCAAATGATAAATGATACAGATTAAAAGACAAAAGACAGTTTAGTACATTCAAGATTAAAGATTATTTCAGGGTAATCTTTCTTACGAGGGCAGGCACTTGACAGACATAACTTAGTCTGACAAGCAACACTGTTTCAAGAAGAATTTGGACATACCTTGCTGGGAACATCCAGAAAAAACATGAGTTGAAAGAGAGAGCACCACGGTATCAGACCCTTCTTTCATTACCTTGATCAATAATACAAATGTCTTACTCTATATGCACTACTGGTTAATTGGCATTCAGAGCTTTCCTTCCGACATTTTATGATGGGAAGCTCTGACTCATCTCTATCATGCCTCAGTCACATTTTCTAATGTGTAACTTCTGCTTTGCACAACTAAAGCTAAAGAGGTTTAAACCGCCGATACTAATCATATACGCCAGGTTATTAGTGCCATTCTTACCCTGTTGTCTCCCCAGTGGTGTCCTGCATTGTTTCCCATATACAAAATGAAAATGTAGAGAGAAAACGCTGTTCCCTGTATTGTCTTACACTGCATAGCAGTGGTGGCCCTCATGCTTGGTTGCTGTTGGGGCTGCCAGCAGACAGATGCGGTGTATCTTCTGTTTTGATGTGTGATGAGTCTGGGTTTGGTGCAAGCATTTGTGCCATCAGTGACCAGAACAAGAGGGAAATGAGACTGAGAATGATTTTAGCAAAGGTAGATTTCCACTGGGGATGGACTCCACTGTCTTCAAGGTAAGAACAACCACCTGCTATTCATGTTATGGCTGAAGGGAGGTCTGCAGACAGCTGGAGAGCCTCTGAAACACAAGGGTATAGGGGATAAAGATGGGCATTAGGAAACCTTTATAAAAAGTAATAACCTTGTCATTTTGTATTCATTTTCCCCAGCTCACAGCAACACTAAGAGCACCTCACTTCCTGATGATATTCTCTCTGATTTGGGAAACTCCCTGCAATTTACTCTGGCTGCTTCCTCACCAGCTGTGACGTGACACAGAGGCATGAGCTCAGATCCAGAACACCACGTGTGCTGCCACCCAGGTGGGTAAACACGGACATGTGCTATTGTGTGAATAGGTCTGTACAGCTTCTGTAGACAAATTGGCCGATTTCCCCCAATGGGAAAATGGAAAATGGACCCATTTCCTCTGGTTGTGGGGACTGGAGCCAGCTGTGTCCCCCCAAAATTCAGCAGACACGTTGGTGAGCAACACACACCCCGCCCCGTGGCTGCCAAGCTGGAGCTCTGCTCCGGCTGCTGCTGGCATCACCCCTGAGTGCTGAGCCCTGGCTTGCCACCCAGAGCTGTGCAGGTCAGAAAAAAGAAGGTGTGGCTCTAGTCAGGAGCAGGAACATCTCCAAATCCTCCCTTGCTCATGAGATAGTCAGTCCATAAAGTTAACACGTAAACAAGTCCTCTAACCTTCCACCAGCCTGGGCAACACCACCAGAGTAATGGGTCAGACACCTCACTTTGCTTCCAGAGATCTGCACACCAGCTTGGGGCTCACCTGGCCCCATATTTTTTCTGCTATTAATTACCCTTTTCTCATCAGCATTTTCAGAGCAGAACCTAAAATTCATGAATCATTCAAAAATATCTCTGACAAAGAATAGACAAGTAATCTGAAAACAGCCTTGCCAAACTATTTTAGGAGCCTGTATGGTCCCACCACCAACTATAAACTGCCCCATCTCTCACTATATGCTTTATTCTTTCTTCGGGTAAGGTTCTTCCCTGTTTCCCACAGCACACTTGGATTTCAGGCCCTAATCCATTTTCATAAACATAATGTGGTGGATCTAAACCACCCACAAAATAATATGATTAATTCACCTCTACCAACTTTAGCTGTCAAAATTTCTCAGTAGGGTTACAGGATTAAGCAGGAATCCTTGATTTTGAGTCTGCTATTCCATACTGTTCTCATGAAAACACAATTCTGTGATTGCCACTAATAGGATTTTGCAACTGGCCTTACAGCAACTGAGCAGCCACCAAGGAGTCTTCAGCCTTACACCAATTCGGTCATCTTTGTCCTATGTTTTCTAGAACTTAAACTCCTACCATGACCTTACTTTTAGCTATTAATAGATGACCCGTGTTGGCTTCAAAGCTTGCTGGTGACATGTATTTTCCCCTTGTTTTGCAGAAAGCAACACTCAAGCCAGCTTTCACGCCTGTGGCCTATCAAACACAATCCTTCAGTTACCACCCTATAGGGAACTGGTATATGCTAGGATCATGGCTGGTATGAGTAGGATAAAAGATGTCCAGCAAGTTCTGTGGTGAATTTTGGGTTAGGGTAACCTTAATTCTTAAGTTTGCCCCACAGCTAACTCCTACTTTAATGACACTCTCACATCACCTACTGAGGAGTATCCATAAGTCATCATGATTCTTCCAGTCTCTGTGAGACTTAAGGGGTCCTAAAACTCTTAGGATCCAGGCATTTTGTAGAGTCACAGAATGGTTTGTGTCGGAAGGGACTTTAAAGATCATCCAGTTCCCATCTCCCTGCCATGGGGAGGGACACCTTCCAGTAGATCAGGTTGCTCAGAGCCCTGGCCAACCTAGTCTGGAACACTTCCAGGCATGGGGCATCCACAGCTTCTCTGGGAAAGTCATTCCAGTGCCTCACCACCCTCACAGTAAAGAATGTTGTCCTAATATCTGATCTAAACCCACTCTCTTTCAGTTCAAAGCCATTTCGCTTTGTCCTATCATTACATGCCCTCGTAAAAAGTATTTCTCCAGCTTGCTCTCAGTGTGTCCCATAGTCCTCTGTTTGCACCCTAAAGCCTCCTGTTTAGTTTTTGGCTCTCTTACAAACCCTGTTTCTCAGTGTGTCCTTCAGCTCTCTGTTTGTGGTTTGCACCCAGACCTTCAGTGTTCTACACTCTGAAATATAATCCTAACTCCTAACCTTTGTTAGAGCTGAATAATTAAGGAATGAATTTCAGCTGGAAAGTGGTAATGACTGAGTGACCATCAAGAAAAACTGCACTTCCTGAAAGTGCTACAAAGCTCATCCCTGAGGCATTTTGGTTATGGCTCATGTAAGTATAAAGTGGGAGATCTGACTCCTGGGTACACAGAGGCTTTTTTTATACACTGGCACCTGTACCTACTACATAAACCCCCCTAATCTGGTTAATAAATCCTAGGTTGTTGGGTTGTGTTTAATGAATGAATTGGGAGTTCTTTACAGGTTGCCTTCTGCTTCCAGGAATTGGAGATGGGAGAACATTAAATTATTCAAAGACTCTAAGAAAAATGATAAAAGGTAACACTACTAGCTTCCTACATACTTTCAAATGTTAGTCGATTCAGTTTACATCCACTGCATCTGTCCCACCAAGTTAGTGTCAGAGAGAAAGATTTTAGAATAAATTAGCATTCATGTGACATCTTGCTGTATATTCAGTTTAGATCAAAATTACAAGAGTTTCCATACTGCCCCACATATCTTTACTGTCAGTATTAATTTCTAGTCCCAAAATCAGTTCAAGTTCCACATTGTGCTATTGTAGCCCCCTTGTCATATCTGAATACTTAAACTGATTCAGAAATAGCTGCTCCAACTCTGGGCAGCATCTGATATAAAGACTGCTATTTGACCTTCCTCTTACTCCCAAAATCACCAAGGATAAGGTGTATTTGTGACCCATTCTCCCAAGACCAGGTTTCACTCTGGTGCCTTGGCTGTGTGGATGGTGACTGATGGTGCTGCAGGGATCAGTCATGAGGGAGGTGCTGTGTGCCTGAGGGAGGTCTCACAAACCACCTGCCTCTTGGAGACTGGGAAGCTTTTCCAACTTTGGACTGCAGTGGGCTGCAAACACAAGTACCTGGTCAATCTCGACATGTTAACATATTCCTGTAATGACTCTCTCATTGTATGCATATTTCCTTTTTGGAGAAAGGAGCAGGTTCTTTCCTTTTTCATAGGTAGCTGGAAATTTTTGGTACCATAGGTGTTGAATGCAAGGTAGGTTACAACTTAAGCCAACAAAACCAGTTAGAAGTTGTTTTATTTCACTCTGTTCCCTTCCTAACTTTATTCTGACCCTCCCTTTGGGGTCATTTATTTCTCACATTAGTTAGTTGCTCTTCCCATTTGGGGATTTGGTAGTTTAAGTGAAACATTTAAAGGAGAAGACCAAGCAAACTCTCTCCTTATTTGGCTAAGAATGTTTGTTCTGTTAATATCTGAATGTAAAAACAACCTAATACTTGGGGCAAAACCAGGGGGTATCCTCAGGAGACTGTTCAAGCTCCTAGTTTTGTTTGAACTTTTCAGGGGAGACTGTTTACATCTCATTAAAAGATTTTTGTGTTTGGTTGGGTTGTTTTAGAATAATCTCAAGATATAGATTTTACCTAGAGGAATGGATGTATGAGACTAACATAATGATGGGCTATATTCTTTGCTCTGTGATCCTTTCCTTTCCTTTCCTTTCCTTTCCTTTCCTTTCCTTTCCTTTCCTTTCCTTTCTTTTTTTTTTTCACTTTCTCTTTGTCCTTCTCACTTTCTTGTTTTCTCGTATCAAAAAATATGAAACAAATTTGCAAATTGACTTTTTTTTTAGATGGCATGTGATGGCACAGTTCTAAATTGAGATTTTTTTTCTTTGGATCTTAACATCCCCAAATAGATTTTCTACTCCCTTCATGTTTGTTTGTTTAAACTAGGTCTCTTGGTATTGTAGCAGCTCAGGACAACTTTCCATATACTGCCCTTCAGTTCCCACAAGAGTTAAATCCCAGGCTTTCAGCTAGATGAGTTGCCAGCTACTGAGTGATGCCATTTGAAGCTCAGCCTCAGATGATGAGCCTGGGACCCTTTATTTGGCATGCCTCAGACTTTTGGAGCAATGGGAGGATTGCACTCTTCTTTTTGAGTCATGGTCAGGGTCACTATTTGCTCCCCCTCTTACCAGAGGCAAATGGTTGGAGAAGGTGAACTTCAGCTTCTTCAAGGAAGTTCTTCAACAGCCTCAGGAAAATCTGGACAAACCATGGATGTATCTGGAAGAAGAGGATTCTTTCCATCCTCATCTCTGAATGCTGTCATGTGGGAATGACCTTAGTAAGTCGAGAACTTTTTCCTCTTTGTTTTACTCTCCAGAGAGAAAACTCCTTTCCTACAGTAATACAAATCAAGAACTTGCTTGGATATTTCCATACTCTGTCGCTTTTTCATACTTGAGTATTTTAATTCTCTTTTCCCTTTCCTATTTGTTTTAACTCTTGCAGAAGATAGCTTCTCCTCTCCTTTTTTTCTGTGAGCCTTTACTGTACTTCCAGCAGCACACTGTTTGAGCACCTTTCCTCTGCAGTTTTTGCAGAGCACTGCTTTTGGGAGGCTTGCCACTCATTCTGGTCACTGCATTTACTTGTTGAATTCACTCTCCCCTACCACTTCTCCAGCTATGTAGTTTGTTGCCTTCAACTGTCTCAGGTGGTTGCATGGTCAGCATACAGATGGGATCACCATTAATGTTTTTGCACAGGTTTAAATGCCAACAAGGCCTCAGGCTTCCCGGGTTGTTTACAGAATGCTCATTCTTAGACTGTGATATCCTTGTCCAAAGGAGCTGTTTTAATACCAGGAAATGCAAGGCTCATGAGAGAAAAACTATGACTGGGGTGAATGGCTCTCTTTAAATAATCACTGCTCCAGTAAAACTTCTTGACCTTGCATTTGATGTTCTTAAATACTTGATGGTCTGGGTAAATTCTCATTATGTTATGTTAATGAACAAGGTAACTTATATGGATGAACCAAGTCAGCTAGGTAAGCTTATTGTCAACAGTTAGTCCCTGTTAACATAAGTAAATCCAAAAGTGTCCTGAATGTGGCTGTGTATCATCACAGGGCAGCTGGGAAGTTAACAGAGCATGGGGTATGAAATATTTGTATGAAAATCAGCAGAAGCCAATGCTACCAATGCTTTGTTATGAGATAAAAGGAGACATACAAAAGGAGAAGTTACCCCATAGCTCAGCAAAACAACAGTTAAAACCATTATAACAATGGCAGGGAGCCTGAACAGATTGTGGTGATGATGATGAACACGATGTGACAAACAGCTTCTCCTTGTGATGGGTTAGATTTATAATGTTTTCAAGACACCTGCAGTCATGTTAAGTGTTCAGAGTGTGTGAACATGTTTAAATTATGTTATGCTGTGATAAATGGCACTTAAAGCAGGTAAGAAATTGCTCTCTCCAAACAGTGCCATTTTGCCTTCCCTCCACCTCTGTACTTGGAGGAAATACAATGCTGAATAACTAAAAATTATTTTTACTTAATTAAATCCCTTTCTGGAAAACTGATGTTGGTATTGTTGGTATCAATGTTTTTTTTTTTTTTTAAACCAAAAAGCCTATGAGCCAAGTTCACTTGAAATGCATGAGTTTAACTTAAAATGAATGCCATTAACTTCAACAGGAACTAAAGAGACCTTTCTGGGAACAATCTAGGGCACTAACAAGAGCTACCAATGCCATTTGTCAGGACTATACAATGAAATTGTGCAGTGTGATGGGGACATTGCTTGTCCAAGAGCTCTTTAAGAGAATCTCTTTAGCTGTGGTTTAGCACTGACAGGCTGAGCCCCTTGAAGAAGGCAGCTCAGGATTTCTGCTAGCATGATGGGCTTAGTAATCTTTAACATTGCCAAGAGCAGTTCCAACTGGGTTTTAGCTAGCATCAGTATATCAAAGCTGGTGTGCCTTTTTTCAAGGCCTTCATGTATGGCCAGAAGTTGAGGGTCCACAAAACAGAAGGAAAAGGGGGAGGGGAGGAGCACACAATGCTCACAGTGTATTTTTATACATATTTACAGAAGGAAGAGCTGTGCTATCCAAACTTGAGCTTTCCCCATGGATGAGTCAAACATAACGTTTCATCCCAGCGAAGGCACAGAGAACATCTCAATGCACAGAAACATTTCTACACAGGAAAGGGTCTGGGAGATATTGACCCCACTTTGGGTAATTATGATCATCTCCTTCCTGGGTTTTTGTGAAAATGGAATTGTCCTCTGGTGCCTCTGCTTCCAGATCAAAAGAAACCCATTCACTGCGTACATCACACACTTGTCCATTGCTGATATCTCCTTACTGCTTTGTACATTTATTCTGTCAATTGAGTACATTGCTGGTTTTGGATTCGCATATGGTTTTTACTATTATGTAACCACCACACTATCTATTGTCTTCCTTCTTGGCTATAATACTGGTCTCTATCTCCTGACAGCCATCAGTATTGAGAGGTGTCTGTCTATTGTTTACCCCATCTGGTACCGCTGCCACCGGTCACAGCACCAGTCGGCAATTGTGTGTGCCATTCTGTGGACTCTGTCTTTTTTCATGACAGTAGCCGAATATTTAACATGCAAGGATGATTCAACCAAGGAACAATTCGACGATGGCAACCATTGCCAAGCACTGCTCATCTTCACATGGATCCTGACTTTCATGATCTTCATTCCTCTAATGATTCTCTCCAGCCTGATCTTGGTTATCAGGATTCGCCGTAACTCCCTGCGACCTCATTCGTCAAAGCTCTACATCATCATTGTGGCCACAGTCATTGTCTTCCTCATCTTTGCCATGCCTATGAGGCTGTTGTATCTTCTGAATTACCACCACTGGTCATCTTTGCTCAGCCAGCAGAACCACGTCACCATTGTTCTCTCCACCGTTAACAGCAGCATCAATCCCCTGGTTTACTTCTTTGTAGGAAGCAGCAAGAAGAAGAGGTTCAAGGAGAGCCTCAAAGTGGTTCTTAGCAGAGCTCTCACTGATGGCTTGCGGCCAAGAAGCCAGGAAGTTGGCATGAGTTTGGATATAGCCGAAACAATTTTCTAAAGCTTAGGGGGGAAACTCTAGGGACAAATAATTGGATGTGGAACATTTAATAAAGCACTGCAAAACTAAAGTATTTTTCATAGGATGTAAAAAGCAAAGGTGAAGTGGCATTGTTATCTTTAATGGTTGAGCAATGGAAAAACATGGACTAGAATAAAGATAACTTTTATTTGGGTTTTTTTTTTTCAAATTTGTATTTTCTCAATTATTCAAAAACATGCTACATCTTGATGTGACTATACCAATCAAAGATATCACAGTGAAAAACAGATAGGCCAACAGAGAATATAAAAAAAGGACACAGAAATGTGTTATAAATAGTGTGACATTTATAAAAGCACCGAGCACCCATAAATGCTATTGAAGTCATCAGGGCCTGTGTGCGTTCACATTTTTAAAAGTCAAACCCACAAAACACAGGATTCATGTTACACACTGGGATTTAATTTCAACTGTTTCCAGTTTGTTTAAGTGCGCAAAAGAGCTGCTCCCTGGGGGAAACAGAGGAAGAAGTCCACGTATGACAATAAGTCCCCATACATAGCCAAGCACATTGGGTGTAACTTTGATCTAGCAAGATATTTAAGTATGTGTTAAATGGCCTAATTAATCTGTTGTTAAACTTCAGAATTTGTTTTCAAAGTATATGTTGCATAATTTCCACTGACACTGAGATGTCTCTGGGTCCTTGGACAATTCAGTACTTGACACATAGGAGTATCTGGCAACACAGGGATGTTGCCAACTCACAGAGGGCTTTTGCCCTAATTATGAAGGGTGGGGCAGGCTTATCCCCAAAATTTCAGCATTCCTGTAGGTTTAGATATTCAAGGAGTCTATGAGAAAGTCAGTCCCAACCTTTGCTGTCCCAGCCATATACTTAGTATTTATCTCTTCTTTGGAGAATATATATCCCCTGTGTGGCCTCTCTGTTTTATAACAACAAATTTTGGAAAAACAGAAAAAGGAAAGGTGCCTCATACAATGAATGACTGGAGCTACACACCAGCCACCCTTTTCCAGCTGCCTGCCTCCCTCTGTTGTATGCCAGGGTACTGGAGCTGGTATTTTGTGGAGTTTACTTCCCAGGGTCACTTGCCCAACTATAGCTAAGCTGCAGAGTGCAGTGGGCAGTAGGAAAGATATGATGGAGTCAGATGAGCTTGATAACACAGAATATGGCAGATTTTGTCAGTCAGAGCACTGTGGCACTTCCAAAGAGACACAAATTTTCTTCTGGCCCCCATGGAGCTCCAAATTCAGCAGGAACTGAGACCTCCCTTCACAAGCAAAAGCAGCATCTTCAGCTTCCCGCCAAGTTTCCATTGGCACACTTAATAGCTAACTGGGGAAAGAAAAATACAACCCACCCCTCCTTTGTTGAAAGATTGCCAGTCCTGGAATAAGAAAGATTGTAGGTTTAGACAGAGGATTGGATGGGAATTCAAAAGAGATCTCAGAACGATAAATGTTCCTTCTACACGTGCCCCTTCCTCCTTACATTAAAGTGTTTCAATGTGTCATTGTAGAAGATTTGGGAGAAGGAAGAGGTTACTCCTACGTCTTCCTGAGTCCCTCACTCCATCAAAACCTTTATCTATGACAGCCTCTTCCCTGACCCAGTTTTTGTCTTTGAAACTCCAGTCCCAGGCTTGTCACCTCTACTGGTTTTGGCAGTAGATGAGTGGAGTCTGCTTCTCTCTTAGGACACAGATCTACTATGCTGCTGCAATGACACATGAGCTGAGCTGCATCCCATCATTGATGGGGAGTGCAGGAGAGGGCAAGGAGGTCTGTGGACACCTTGTGAGGGACACCTTGTGAGGGAGGGCCAGGGGGAAAAGTGAGTATGATGTGCACATACATGTGTCATGTGTGTGCACACAGCTACTGAGGGCTGGGGGACTATCGGGCAATTTGTCAACCCTGATGAATGCTATAAACTTAAATACTAGGGTAGATCTAGCCCCCACCAAAACAACCCCAGACTTTCCTTTAAAGCTGTTCTCTACCTCAAAACCCTTTACAATAATCACACAGAGAACCAGAGAGAGGGGCAACATTGTAGGAAGCACCTTCAACACATGCTTCTGCAGTAACCACATGTAACCCAGTTCTCTCAGAGTGATTCAGGTGAGATAAGGCATATGATTTACAGTGCTTAAACATATCCAGATTATTAACAACAGGCTTGGGTTAAGGACCACCATGCATGCAGCCAGGGCAGTAGATCTGCAGAGGCAATAATATGCAGCGGGGCAATTGGGATGCTTGTGAGCTGAAGAGGTGCTCTAGGACTTCTATCTTCTTACCCCTTTTCACCTGGCCATGCGTCCAAATGTTTCAGATTTTGGACAATGGTCCATAGATCAGTTCACAGAGCAACAAAATTAACACTCAGCATGAGATGAACATCCAGAAGGACAAACAAGAATGAATATCTAACAGTTGAAAGATTATTAATATTTCCCAGTGGACAGATAAAAATAACTTAGGATGTTCCTTCTTTATCATAGCACCTGGTGACTGTTCTCTGTGCAGACAGGCTGCAGTACAAGGGGAACTAATACCCACATGATTCCATGATTAAAAAAACCCAAAACCCCAAGACAGGGAAAATGTGACAATGTTGCACAACAAGGATGTGATTCTCCACCAGCTTGCATATTTAAAAATTATTTGCAGCTGTGGAAGAGATTGAAATACCACTGTGCAGATCAGATGGTTTAGGCACTCTTTAGTGGTGCAGAACAGGAAAGGCTGTCTTGCAGGTCAAGTACTAGCTATGGAGTTTTGAGATGTGGGTTCTATTTTAATGCAGTATTGGCATCTAATTTTTCTGTGCCATTCTTTTTCTTTCCTACCTATAAAATGAGAGTTGTATTATTTTGCCTCCAGTGTTGTGCTTTCACATTTGCACTACAGGCACTTCAGAACAGCAACTATCTCTTGGTTATCTCTGGGCAATAAGGATGTAATTTTGCTGTGCTGTCAAGACAAGGAGTTATTCAGGAAAATAATGTCCAGTATAGAGCTTGCTTTGTTAAAATGCTCATTTCTAGGCTTCTGATCAACTTGATACTAATTAATGTTGTGGGATGTAAAAGTGTGACTAAGAAATACAAGGAGAGGTCACTTCCCTCGATACAGAAGAGTTTTTCTCTTGTAGCTACTCCCTGGGTGGAGAGGATGATATGGGGCAGGCTGCTGTTTCAGGCCCAAAATGATGTGATGAGTTTATGCAGCAGCTTTCCTCTATAACTCACAGACTTTGTGAATTATGGACTTGTGAATTATGGACTTTGTGAACAGTCCTTGTGACAACAAGGGCAGAGAGGTGAGGAACATGATACTGGCCAGTTTACTTCTACCCTGGAGGATACCCTGGGAAATCCTCTAAGGGAAGCTGAAATGCTTCCCAGTTGTACTGGTTGCTGCAAACAACAAACCTCCCTTTCCCAGCATGAGAACAACCCACAAGTCCTTGGCATTCCCTGGTAAAATGCCTCAGGCCACTCTGTGGAGTGACGGTAAGAGGGACAGTTCCTTTGCAGGGTCCTCCAAAAACCCTAGATACATTGTCTTGCTCCCCATGCACCTCAGAGAGATTCCTCAAGTCCTCCTGCTGTGCCAAGTCTCAGGGAGAGTGTGATCCACATACTGGTTTTTATGAGCAGATGTCACAGTGGTGGTACTGGCCAGCAGAAGGTACTTTCAGATGGTAGCAGGTCAAGGGAAAGAAGAAAGTCAGTGCGAGCTTGTGTGCAGCTCACACCATGCAATGCTGCCTGCCATTTGTGTGCCTGCTGCTTCTCTTCCCAACTCCATGCAGAAATAATTCATTAAAATCCACTACACAGGGTTTCTAGATACCCACCCAACTGAAAAGCCAGTTTGCTTTCTATTTGGTTGCCCAGCACTTGTGTGATGTCCACATGGAATTATTTTCTTTTCCAGTTGACTCACACAAGCCTAAAAGATGAATCATCAGGATCCACATCCAAACAAAGTATTACAGGTGCAAAACCTTGAATTCAAATTAGAGGTACTGAGATAGTCTGCATGATTCTAATACTTCTTCCTTGCATATAACATTCCATTTTTAATTATATGATTGCAACCTATTTTTTTATCCAAACTGGACTCTTGCCTCATTAAATACACAAGATTAGACCTGCTGCTGGTTTAGTTAAGGATTTCTAGAGTCCTTGCTTCAATTGTTTCAGAAATATGAAGGGTAATAAAGGGGAGGGAGTGGCTGTGGCTGTTTCCATCTGGCCCCAAATCCTGTCTCCAGTAGTGTTCCCAAGCAGATGCCTACAGAGGAGAAGGAACAGAGCAAACACGTATCATGCTTCTTTCTCATCCTCTCCAAGCCTTCAACAGTTATCAGCTCGAAACACTTTGGTCTAGAAGTCTTTACACTTGGTAATTTTCAATGGATTTCTCTTCAACAAAAACATCAGACCTCCATGGAAGCCATATGAATTTTCTATGTCTTCAACACCTTCATAGAAGTATTTTATGGTTATTCTGAAGGAGTGTCTTCAGGAATAGGAGAATGAAATTCTTACTTGGATTCCATCATTCTAACACCACTAAGCAAGACACAATACACAGCAACCAATTTTTTTTTTCTCTTAGAGCACACATTTTTTTTTCCTCTGGACACAAAGCATCTCTGGAATTGGAGTAACGTTTAATTATTCATTTTTCCTGTTAAGAATTTGCTCTATAAAAAAATATGGCTCTAGAAAAGTGGACATTATAGCAAATAGATAGCAATTATAATGATAAAAGTTAACAGCATTTTGAGAATTTAAAGAATAAATTAAAATATTCATAGAATCAGTATTTTTAGGTATAGTCATCAAAGAGATGTAAAACTTAACAGCTACGTGCAGGAGATGGAGTGAACACCTTGGTATCACTCTTCTGTCTTAGAAAAAAACTCCACTTGCTTAATGCATTAGAGGAGGGTGCTTTATGTTTCATGCTGTCTTTGGTCTAT